CCGGCTGAGTGGCTCAGTTGGTTAAGAGCTCACTCAAAAGTTTGAGCTCTGAGCAACAGTGGTTCGAGTCTGGCCCAAGCTGAGCTGCCGCTGAGCTGCCAACAGGTGGCAGGATGGCTCAGCTAAAAAAAAAAAATCCCAAAGTCATACACTCTTGCTACCTGTCCTCTAACCTTAGTTTTTCAGACTGTAAACATAGGAGACAGGGAATTGAAATAAATGGAAATAATGATAAGGATGACAGAGATTAGAAGTCCAAACTTGAAGGATCCTGAAAGCCCCGAGTCTGGACCTTTAAGGAGTGATTTGACCAAATCCTAGGGAATTTCCTATTCTATAGCTGGTTCCTTGATTATAGCAGCTTCTGACATCGGATGAACCCCCATCTGCAGATTGAGGGGGTGATCTGGGACCTACATGAACAAGCAGCTTCACCTATGCAGCCCTGCGGGGCCTCATCACATCGAACGTGACCCCTAGAACGCTGCTATCGGCGTGTGGTTCTGAGTGTCCCCACCATGAGGACAAGCCTGGTCCAGGGCCTGACCTTTCACACAGCAGGAAGTCCAAGGGCAGGGGAATGGTTATTACCTTTCACTCTAATCTGATTAAAAATGCATGCCATGGACACAAACAGTCTCTCTCACACTAAACACTTGCAGCTTTTCTTTGGTGGCATTTTCTCCTTTGGGTATCAGACAGGATTTGACTTAATGTTTGATGATGGTTCACGTGCAGATGTAACTGGACCCTCCTGAAAGAGAACTGGACATGCTCACGCCATCCTAACAGCAAAGGACAGTGTGGTTCCAGGCAAGAGCCGTGGCGACGTTTCCCTTAAGCCAAATTAAATCAAATGCTGGTGCAAGCCTCCGGTGACAAATTCTTCTGTTCCACTTTCCATACTGTCTGACCTAGTCCCTTAGCAACAGGACTGCAGCTAAACAAAGGCAGCTGTTCAAATAATTATAAGCCCCATGTGAAGAGGCTAATCGTTTTAGTCTTGAAGTGTCAGTGATTCATAATCTTGGACTTTCGGTTTTGATTTGTATTTTCATTGTAAATGTGGAGCAGGATCTGGCTGTCTGGCAGCTGACGGTGCTGGAGCGGCTGATGGTGTTGTGTCGCCCTCTAGTGGCCGCCTAAGCAGGTGCGTGTGGCTGCCATGGGAAGGAAGCGAAGGTGAGCCAGGCCTCCTAGTCCATCGAGGCGGGCAGCCCTGCTGAGGAGCTATTGGGCCTCTCAGAGCTCCGTGAGGCCCACGGGCCTCTGGCCCTGGCCCGCCCATCCCACCTGGGCAGTCTGTGAGCCTCAGCCATGGGACCCCCGCCTGCTTCTAAGCCTTCTTCTCTGTCCAGGATAGTGTGTGCCCGCACATGTCAATAAATACTTGTGCGACTGGATGAAACTGGGGATGGGGGAGACTCCTGACTAGAGTCCAGCTTTTCAGCTAAGTGTTTTTGAAACACAATGGATCGCTTCAGGAGCCGAGGAAAACCTCTTGCTCTGATCATTTACCTCAAAGGCCTTTGAGAGTTTACCCAGTGTCTCATGTAAGGCAGCCAAACTCCTTCACTGTGCTCACATATGTCAGGCACAAAAGAGAATGGGTGTAAATATTGGGACATAAGGATATGCTTTCGAACTAAATGCTTCACTTCAAGGTCAGGCTGCGCCCGGAAGGTGAGCGCAGAGGCTCCGTCACGCCGGTTATACGATGAGCTCTTTCAGGGCTCCGTCCGGCACACGTGTCTGGGGCAGGTAACTTGACAAAGATGATTTGGATCATTGTTCTAACTTGTTGAAGGCTTGACTCCATAAATCTTCCCTTTCCTAGCACCTCTGGAGGAACACAGATGTCCAGATATGAGCTACCTCTAATTCCACTGGCAGTTTTATTCTTTAAGTCACAGGGGCAAGTCCTCAGAGAGAAAAACTGTCTTAAAAAACACAGTGTGGATTTTATAAACTCCTAGAATTCCCTCGAGGATGAGTCGTGGCGCTGCATCAGCTTTTCTCCAGGGTGGAAACACTGTGATGGATGGAGGGAGGGGCCGTCTCTCCCCACCCCCCAGCTTCCGCTCTGCGCTGCTGCCACCTAGGATTTCTGCCTAGGAGCCCCTTCCTAGTCAATGGGGCAGCACCAGCCAGGGAAACGACGCTCAGGTATGTGTCCCCTGCAGGCACGTTGGGTGGACTTGTGATCCTATCCTGAAAGACACCAGAAACCTGGCACCGTGCTGGGTGGCAGGGTCGGGGGGGCTCACCAGACTCAGAGCTGCTCCACAGCAAGCCCAGCCCCTCCCTTCTGCTTCATGGCCTCCCAGAAAGCTCCCAGGGGCCACACAACAGGGGGCACGGAAAATCCATTAGCCTGATTTCTGCCTTGGGTCTTCTGCTTTCTATGCCAGACTAAACCCAAAAAGCAAATGCAGCTTTGGACTAAAGAGCATTCCATAAACTTTACTGAGTGCCAACACATACCAGGCCCTGTGCCAGCCGCTAGGGACACAGAGACGAGGGACCATCTTTGCCTTCAGGGAGTGTGAGGTGGGCAGCTAGGGAGAGAAAGGGGTATGCCAAGAGCTAAGTCCCGAGTCAAGTGAAGAATTGGGTGCGATGAAAACTGTCGGGTACGCATGGGGCCCATGGGAGGGACGGCAGGGGATGAAGGCTGCAGGACGTGGGGGGAAGAGGGCAAGGAAGGCTTCAAAGGAGAGGGACACTCGAGCTGGGCCAGAGAGAGGAGAGGCGCTCGCCAGCTCCAGTGGACCTGGGCTCCAAGTACACAGTGCGGTCCCTCGGGGCGGAGGCCAACAGTCACAGCCAGTGTCCACCTTAGCCCTCTGCTCCCCCCGGCCCAACAGTCATAGAGCAAATAATCTGGGACCTGAATACACAAGGGGAAAGGAAAGGGACTCAGAAGGCCCCAGGGAGTGAAACAACGGAGGGTCCAGCCTTCAGAGGAGCTGGAGTATCAGTGCGAAATGCAGGGGTCAGGGTGTGAGCAGGGGACTGGCAGCAAGTCACCACAGTCGTGTGCGTGACGGTTGAGGGCAGTAAAGAAAAGCTGAAAAGTCAGCCTGAGGGTTTGGTGTGTATTTCTTCCCCGAGATAAGGCACGTGAATCAGGTTAAGTTCCGCTGGCATCTGAAACGCCGAGTGCTCTCTGCAGCCTCGGTCCCCTCAGTAAAAGGACGGTGCTGAGGGGATAATAATTCTTGGAAGGAAAGGACGGCCACGTGTGTTGCACGAAGGAGAGGACAGGTCTGGGCCGCTGTGCTGATGAGGCCGGAGGCTCCGGACAGGGAGGGCTTGGTGCTCAGAGGCAGCTGTTGGCACGACAGCCCCACTTGCCTGGTGCCCGCCTGCTGCTGCCCCTGCCCGGCATGCTTTGCTCTCACCTCATCCCATCCCCGCTCTAACCTGAAGCGCCCAGTGCATCATCCTCCCTTTCTAAAGAGGACAGAGGTCCTCAAGGAGGGGAAGCGGCTTGGCCAAGGTCAACCCGCCAGGGAAGGGCAGTGCCAGGTGTGAGTCCAGCCTGCGGGCTCCCAAGGGCTCTGTGCTTCCCACCCCCGTCTCCCCAAGCGAGGGAAGTCCACAGGGCACTGGCAGGCAGAGCAGCCTCCTAAATCATATCAGGTAACTTGAGACACATCCTTGGACAGCCGGGCAGGGCATATGCAGGCATTTTCTAGGGACAGGGCACCGCTGGCAAGGTGTGGTTTCTTGAGGATGTGCTTGACCTCCATCAGCTGGCTGCAGCAGAAGAAAGGGCTGCTGTGGGGTCACTCCAGCATCTGTGAGACAACTCACCTGTGGCGCTGCAGACAGCCGCTCTGGGGGCGGGACATGCAGGTCAGCAAGAGACTCCTCATGCCCCTCCCTCCTGAGAACCGGCCCCCAGGAGCACAGCCTCCACTTGCCACAGGTGCCCTGCGCTTTCCCAGGGGTCTGTTATGGATGGAACGTTTGTGTCCCCCCCACCCAAATCTATGTGTGGAAGCCCTAAGTGTGGTGGCGTTTGGAGGTGGGGCCTTCGGGAAACAGCTTGGTTTAAGATGTAATGAGGGCAGGGCGCTGTGGTGAGATCAGTGCACTTACAAGAAGAGGAAGGGAGCAGGGTTCGCTCTGTTCTCTCTGCCATGTGAGGACACAGCGAGAAGGTGGCTGTCTGCAAGTCAGGAAGAGGGCCCTCACCGAGACACTGGCCATGCTGGCACCCAGCCTGGGACTTCCAGCCTCCAGAACCATGAGTGATCAGTGTCTGCTGTTTAAGCCATCCAGTCTGTGGTGTTTTGTTACAGCAGCCAGAGCTGACTCGCACACGCTTGTGTGCAAAGGCATCTGACGGCTCACCATTCAGATTCCCCGAGACCCCGAGCCTTGCAGCGTCCCTGCCCTGCTGGAGTCATGTCTGGATTGAAAACTGACGTGCAAAGACCAGGGCCACAGAACTCTGCCAACGGCCACTCTTGACCGTCTCAGGAAATCACAAGTGCAAGGGTATCTTTGGTGTTGGACTCTGATCAGGGCAGAGGCTGAGGGATCTGTTCTCACCAGAAAGCACAGCCCTACTTGAATATGCTCAGGCAAGACCCCCAAATGAGAGGTGGGGTGGTGGGAGGCACCCCAGCAGGGTGCGGCAGAGCCCCCCCCCCCCTGTCTACTTGGGTGGTTCCTATGACAACTGCTGGGGAGTGTGTCTGCACCTGCCTGCGCCTCCCAACATCTGAGGAAGCTGGGAAGGCAGCATCATTTCACTGTGTACCTGAGGTAACAGAGGCTGAGTTTACCCGGCTAGGAAGGACTTAAACCCGGATCTGCCAACCTGAAGCTCAGGGTCTTGGCTACTAGCCAGCAGCCAACTTTCAACAGCTGACTGAGAAGCTGGACAGAAAAGACTCGTGTTCTGGAAACCTTCACGTAGGCACTGAGCAGTCAATGCTGCATCCGGACGCCAAGAAGCTTCATGGCCCCGGGGGGGGGGCACTTACCCCTTCCATGGGCGCTATGAGCAGGTCATACAGAGCACGAAGTGGGGGCCTGGCGAATGAGCTCTGCCTCCTGGGAAGAGAGGAGGTCCCGTCCTTGGTAGGTGACATGGTGTTGCTGACCAAGCTTGTCATACTCTGGCAGCTCCTGGGGAGAGAAGGGCCAGGGGTTAACCCGGGTGCAGGCAGGGCAGGCCAGGACCCGTTGCTCACCCCGCAGAGCTCCACCTCCTGGAAAAGGCAAGTGGAACTGTCCAGCAGGGCCCCGGTCCAGCCTCCCTCATGGCGTTGCCCCTTCTCCTCCCTTCCAGGTAATTTTCACAGAACAGTAAGCACTGACGGAAACCGCAGGGCAAGCCAGCTGCACACAACAGCTTACATTTCTATGGAGTTTTCTGCATAATCAAAAGTCCCCAAGTGCTGTTCAAAGGACTTAATTACATCCTTGTGTGGCACGATTGTGTGCAGGCAAACGTGAGCACCATTAGAATCAGCAGGAGCCACCCAGCTGACGGCAGGACAGTGCCCCGAGGCCAGTTAATCTGTGAGCATGAGGGATGAACAAGACAGGAGTGTGTTGGCCCCAACCTCAGCCTCAGGTCAGTCACTGGGTAGCCACCTGACCCTGAGGCCTCAGCCCCTACCGGGTGGGAGCAGCTGACCAGGCAGCACCCGCAGAGTGGTCAGCTCACATGTGGCTGCAGGGCTTTGTTTTGCTTTTTAATTTATGTTCCAATGTTTGCAGGGAACGTTTGATTAGCATGGATGGTATTTTCAATGCCAAAGACCCCAAGCTTCACATTCCCAACACAGGGTGAGAACATCCATTGATTCATTCGTTCATTATTGTAGAAAATGCTTCCTGGCACCAGCTACCTGCCATGCACTGTCGTAGGCCCTGGGGACTTGCAGAGGACAAACCGCACAGGTGAGCAGATGAGGCAACAGGAAACAAACCCATTTCCCACGCAGGGACCAGGCTGCCCCATGCAGCTCTCTGAACCTGCCTGTGGTCTGGCAGTTGTGGCCTCAGCCTCGACTTTGGTGACGTTCTCTGCATGGCTATTAGATAGCCAGTCTCTTAACATTGATCGAAATACTACACGGTTTAGGGGTTTCTGCTGAGTGCTCAAGGACCCTTAAAAACAGGGACCAGCTCTTACACCAGATACACCGCTGAGCTATGGTAAGCACCCTGGGCTGCTGGTAGTGGCAGTTCCTTGGTTGTTACCTAAGAAAAACCAGAAGCTGGCGGCTTTTCCTCCTGGGCCAGGCCATGATCCATGACCGTCAGATGAAATGATCTGAAAGACTCATTTGTGTTTTCCAGGTTAGACCTCAACCACCTGGCCTCCCCTGACCCTTCTGGGTATCTCAGCAATGTCCCACTTGACCTAAATTCTAGAGTCATGACAAGCCCGTCTGTGAGCCCCACAGCCCCCGACCCTGCTCACCGGCTGGGAGGGAGGAGCCAAGGACTTGGGGGCCCTGAGAGATGCTCACATCCGCTGCTCCGTCTCCTTCACTCAGGAAATGTAATTACCAGCGACTGCGGCCACACCGTGTCATTGCCGTCAGAGCCAGTGAAGCACAGACAATCCTGGAGTGACCCTCAGAGGCTCGCTTGATTCCACAGAACACACAGCTAAGGGCAGTGCTGCCCTGAAGGGGCGCCAGGCTGCTCTCCAGAGGGGCCGTTCTGGGCTGGCACTCAGGGTCTGTCACTCACGGGCGGCTCTGTGTCCCTACACACAGGCCTGTGTGTGCGCTTGCATTCCCGGCGGACGGGTCACAGCCTGGGGACCCATTGCTGCCATTGGGACAGCACAATGGGGCAGCCGCAGGACCCCTCAGTGCCTCCCCCATGCACCTCTCGTGTCACTCCCTAAGATTGTGGGCTTGTAACCCCACTTGAGGCACCCGAGTCTGATTAACCCAGCTGCAGACATCTGGGGGGAGTGCCATGTCTACAGACAACACCATGGCGGCAGGTCCCCATGGTGACTGCGGAGGGCTCCACAACCCCCAAGGCCCTGAACTAAAAAGCTCCCATTGGAGAAAGAGACCCCATGCCCACGGCACCCCCAACTCAGGTCCCCTTCGGGTTCAAGGAAACGGCAGGCTCCAAGTTGTGTGGGGAGGCACAGGCACTCCTTCCAGCTGCCCCAAAGCAGGCTTCTTACTCCAAAATTAGAACCACATGCACAGTCAGTCTAACTCCTCCCCGTGAGGGTGTCCCCAGGGCACAGGACGTCAGGCTGGCTGCACTCTGGAGGCCTGGGCAGGATACCCTGCTGGCACTGTGAGCTGCTGAAACATGGTTTCTCGTAGTGGCATGGCCAGGAAGCGCCAGGGAAGGGCATTCCAAAACGGAAACTGTCTGGAGGGAGGTGGGGAGGTGTGTGGTGGACAGACCTGCTGGACGCGCTTATTGGGGCAAGTCAGTTCCCCTCTGGACCTGGCTTTCTGCCTCTGCAAAAAGGGAAACTACAGCCCACAGGCAAGGAGTGTCAGAATTGGGGAGGATGGCTGCAAAGCACCCTGAACCCCAAAGAAAGCTGGTGGGAGTCTTAGCTGATGGGGGAGTGAGTGTGAGACAGAGGCCTGGGCGGGGGGGTGGGGGGTCAGAGAAGGGCTGGGGACTTAAGTGCAAGTGTGGATGGCAGTGGCGTCTTTTTATTGAGCCCCAGGGACACCTAAAAGGGCTCAGCAACACGAACGCATCACACATGCAGAGCTGCCCAAGATGTGCCAAGCACACAGGCCCACAGAGTGGCCGCACCACGGTCCCTGTGCTGTGCCAGAAGGAAAGGGACCTGCTCAGCAGAGGTGGAAGGGGCATGAAGGCACAGACCCTGACAGCTGCTGGTCAGGCAGAGCCCGGGGAGGGCTTCCTGGAGAGACTGTTTGACGTGGGCACGAGGGATGACCTGGAGTTATCCTGCCTGTGGACAGAAGGTCCCCCCAAGCCAAGGCAACAACATAGGGAAAGGCATAGAGATTGGGGTGCCTAGGGCAGTGAGTGTGGGGACAAGCGGACAGAGGGTCAGGGCTGCAGGCTGGAAGGGTAACTGGCAGGTGGGCTGGGGACTCTGGGTTATGCTGGGAGGAGACGAGGCTGGGAAGGCTGGTCCACCTCCGTTAACACTAGGCTGAATAGAAGCCCCTCCTTCCAGGCCGACTCTTTCCTAGGGATGATCAGAGGAAGGCTGTCTGCTGCCTACGCCCCTCCCGGAGAACCTTCCCGTGGGTCCCCAGCGCTGCGCAGAGCAGCCACCATCACGCCATGTGACACCCACCCTCACCCCTCTGCTCTGTGCTCCTCTTCAGTGGCAGGCACCTATCCCTAGAGATGTCCTTTTCAAAGTAAAAACAAAAGCCCAGGAAATACTCAGCTGGTGGTTATAAACAACACCAATCAACCCGAAACAATAAATTGAGGTCAAAGACTCTTTTTCATCAAGACTTTCCCCCCTGAGCTGGAGGCATCCGTTGCGAGCACCCCGGAACCCCAGGCAGTGCCTCCCTGGCCCGCCTCTCAGCTGTGGCCCCCACCTGCTCTGCAGTTCTTCCGGCGGGAACTCCTTTTGCTTTCTCCACACTGGCAGCCCCTGCGCCTTCATTTGCCTTGACAGCAGCAGCATGTGCTGTCCCCACTGGAGAGCTGTCCCAGGAGAACCGACCCAGGGGCAGAGGACTGGAGGGCAGGAAACCAAGGCCAAGTGCAACTGAGGGTCCCTGGACCCCAGAGGCCTCCTGAGGTGCAGGTGTGGGGAGGGCCTCTGGCTTGGATGGGGAGACAGGACATGGGCCCCGCACTGATCACAGTGGCAGGCTGGCAGTGTCCTCACCTCCACAAGTATTAGGTGCCACGCTCACCTGTGCAGACTGGAGTCAAAGAGCTCCCTTTCATGTGCTGTTTCTGCTTTGACTAAGGCGCTGACAGTGACTTACTACAGCTATTGTGCTGGGGTACGTCTGCCTAGAGATCTACCCAAAGATACACTCAATAATTTAAAACAGCCAGGCAGTCGGCTGCTTAGCCCTGAGCCTGGGAATGTTTATGGACAACGCAGAGGACTGCCAGGCTGCCTCCTCACCCACGGGCTGTGTGACGCTGGCAAGGCCTGTTACTTTTCTTGTCCCCCTTTCCTTGTTTGTAAAAGGAAGGGGCTAAATTAAAGTCCTTGTAGGTCTCTTCTAGCTTTAAAAAACTAAAAATTTACTCAATCTAGGAAGCCATCAAAACAGCGGTGGCTCTTTTAACCCCTGCGCTGACTGACAGGACACTGCCACAGCCCCCACAGCCCGAAGCCCCACAGCTATTCCTGTGCCCACCCTATGTGAGTGTCACAGTGTGAGTGTGGCTTTCCAGGGCTGTAGTC